TATATATTTACACAGAACACCATATACGCGGCAATAGAGCTATTTTAGGGCTACCTTTAGTTCTCAGATATCGGCTGCCCGTCTCGTATGTAAGCAAGTTTGGCTTTGGCTGTTTTATCGGTTTTGCTTGGCATTAGGGCCAGACCTACTTAATTTCGATTTGGATTTACTTAGTTAGATACGCATAAATAGTCATCGTTATTGATAGATGTGGAAAATCATAATTGAAATCAAATGAAAATTAACTTTGGCTGAGTTTAGCTTAAGCTTTCGTTCAGTTCAGTTCAAATCCGTTCCGATAAGTTCCACTAATCGGGATGTGATCGTTATCGGTTATCGCCGCACATCGGCAACACTTTACTATACTTTTACAAATCTGTAGAGATTACTGAATTCTGTCTGTGCGTGTGTGTGTGTTTGTAAGTGTTTGTGTGCTCAGATCAGAGTCAATTATATAGTTAAAGTTATAGGTTTGAATGGGGCAGAGAGACAGAGAGAGAGAAAGAGAGATACAACTATACATACGAGTATCTAGAGTATCGAGAGTGTGTATTAGAGAGAGGTTTATAGGGTGACAAATAGAGATACACGCTGGGTTTTTTTTTTCTCACAAGCATCATTTTGTATTAAATTTGATTTGGTTTTCAGGTTGGTTTCATTTGAGTAACTATTAATTTTTGTAATTTTTATTTCATTGATTATTTTGTTTAAATATTTATTTTGTGATTCTTTATATCAGTGCGGTTTTCGCTTTTGCGGTTTTCTTTTCAATCGCTGACGTTGACAGCATATTTTGTGGTAGCAGGCGAGCAATCTGTTGTCGTTGGGTTATGTTTCATGTTGGCTTTAGCTGGTGGGTGTCCTACGCGGTACGGTGCGGCTGCATTTTTTTGATAAAATATCGATAGACGATTATTGAATTTGCATCCCCTTGCTTTGTTCTGTTCTGTTCTGTTTTTTGTAACAGTTTTTCAGTTGTGTGGTTCTGGTTCCTGGATATCGCGGGCTCTACTCGAGTTAAACACAATCAAACAAAATCACTGAACAAGAGAGTGAGAGAAGATAGAGAGAGAGAGAGAGATAGGAGAGACAGATTGAATCGAAATTCGACAAAAAGCCAAAGCAAAGTTAATGATAATAACCAAAGGTTTTTGGGCCGCCAGTTGGCGTCCCGTGCAGCTAGTGGGAAATGGGGGGAGACTCGTAAGATGAACCAAAAATTAAAAATAAATAAGCGTAATTTGAGCTAATAATAATCTACGATACGTATATGCAATATTTATAAGGCAAAAATAACGCATAGATCAGGTGTGTAAAACAAAGTGTAACAGACAGATAGACAGATAGAGAGAGAGAGAGAATAGAGAGAGAGAGAGAGAGGGGTTTTTCGGGTGGGACATTCGAGAGACTCTTCTTTTTTGATTTGATTTGGATTGGGCAACCTTCAGATAGATAGATCAATGGGGTGGGGGGGAGAATCGAAACTGAGCTGAACTTGATTATGGGGTTTCGTTTCGTTTCGTTTTGTTGGGTGTGGAGTGGTAAATAGGGGTAGAGAGGTGGAGGTGTGAGGTTTTTGTGGGGTTAGTTTTAGTGGTAAATGAACTAGAATTGCTTGTTTTGTAATTACCATTTTCTATCACTTTGCGTTAGCGGGGTGGGGGGATGGGCGCCCCCGCGTGGGCACACCACACACACACACACGCACCACCAACCCTTCGGGGGTGCAGAGCAGTTGTGGAGCAGCTGTTCTCGATTCTGGCTTGGAAGGCCTTCTCGTTGCAGTTCTTTTTCTGGTATCGGTTTCTGGTTTTCTGTTTCTGGTTTCGGTTTCTGGTTTTCTGTTTCGCTTTTTCGATTATTTTTGTGTTAGATAAATATTTTTTGATTGCACGTTCTATCGTTGATCGTTGCTCGATTATTGCTTATCGCTTATTGGTTATCCGGTTATCCGGCTATCGGTTTTTATTGACTTATCGTTTGATCGATTTTGATTTCATTCCTAAATCTCAGTCACACAATCTAAGGCCACCTATTGATAGTTGCCCTGTTTTCTTTGATTTTACTTTATGTGAGTTTTTGTTTTATTTTAGAGTGCTAAATTATCGATATCGTCATCGTTACCTTTATTGTGTCACGATTTATCGTTTGATTTGATTTTAATTTTGTTTTGTTTTTGTTTTTGGTTTTACTGCTTGCAAGTTCATATGTAAATAATTGTTATACATGGATATACGTGGCTATATATACATACGAGTTATCACATTCGTTAGCATTATTCATTCATTCGTGTTCGTTCGCTATTCATATTGTTCTTCCCGACATAGTTCTCGCTTGATTAACGCTGGCATCGATGGCCCACATTTTTGCCGCACTCTCAACTGTCTACAGTTCCTGTTGCTGCTGTTGCTGTGGCTGCTGCTTTTGCTGCTGCTGTTGTCTGGACGACCTGGCGACTCTGGGCAGGACTTGTGGTCTTGGATTTTGTCTGCTGCAAGGGCGCTTGGCCAGGCCATGTGGCGGCAGCCTCCTCGGCCGTTGCTGTTGTGGCCGCTGTTGCCTCTGTCTCCCTTATTGTCCTGATTGCGCTGTTCGCAGTTCTCGCTGATCTTCTGGATGAGATCGTCGCCGGCTCGTCGCTGCTTGGCAGGGTTGTTGCCTCATAACCGCTGAAGCCGCTGGCTTCACCGTTTCCGTTTTCGTACGTTCCGCTTACGTTGCTGCTGCTGCTGTTGCTGTAGTCAACCTTTATTGAGGTTTCAGTTTCGATTCGATTCGATTCGGTTTTGGTTTATTGGGTTCGTTTGAGTGTTTTTCGGTTGATATATATATATATAGAGAATAAAGCATTTGTTTTAAATTATATGTTACCTTTCTTAGACAGAGAAAGGTATGTATGTAGATACTATATGGATTAGAGAAAGATTAGGGCCAGGGGGACAGGGACTTGGACACGGCGGAGACCGGCGCTCCGGTTGGGGCTGGGCTGAGGCTGAATGTGTCTGAGTGTGTGCCTTGTGTGTGGGGAAATCATAAGCCTAGTAGACACGCGCACACAGAAAACAAAGAGTTCTAGAGCTAAACTTATAAGAACTGTTAAAAATCGTACAATAATTTTTGTTGCCAACAAAATTTGTTCAATACACACAAACAGCGAGAACAGAGACAGACATAGAGACATAGATATAGATACAGCTATAGATATAATTATAGTTGTAGATTTTAGCTAAGCATATCAATCAATCAATTACACAGCCAATTACAATCAAAAATCAAACTGAACATAGACAAAAATATATAGAGAGAGAGAGAGAGACAGTGAGAGAGAGGGAGACAGACAGAGACAGAGACTTGTGTTGCCTTTAGTGTGTGTGTGTGTGTATGTGTTTGTGTATGGTGTGTGGGTGTGTGTTTTTTCTGTATATTCTGTTGGGAGAAAGAGAGAGCTGAGCCCCGAAAGAGCTCAGACAGAGTGAGAGAGAGATAGAGAGAGAGAGAGAGATGGGTATGTCGGATGGCTGGGCAATGGTTATAATGGACAATGGGCAAGAAATGGGTTTGTTATGGCGCTGCCAGCTCTCTGCCCTGCACAGCCGAGCCTTGCACCCGGCCGCAGCCGAGACTGAATGTGGGAGTGAGAGTGAGAGCGGGCAAGAGAGTGGCAAGGAGAGGGCGAGAGAGAGATGGATGCTTTGTTCTTGGCCATCATTTTCTTAAGGATTGTCCTTTGTGGGTTTTCCTTTCTTTTCGTTTCGTTTCGTTTTTTTAAGGGGTTTTTTTCTGTCTCTGTTTTTTTTCTTTTTTTTTGTTCTTTGTCTGTTGTTATTTGCATGTTCTAAATCCTACTTGATGAATGCTTTGCATATTAATTTCATTTTTTTTTCGTACTCTTTTTTCTCTTTTTTTTTTTTGTTTGCATTTTATGTGAATGTTCATTTGTTTGTTTGCTTTTGTTCTGTGATCTGCTGAAAATGTTCGCTCAGAATGTTAAGTCTCACGGTAAGTATATTATTATTATTATTATTATTATTATTATCATTATGTATTATTCATATTACTTTCGTTTTTTTGTTTTTGTTTTTTCTTATTCATTCCCTGTTGGTATTATTATCAGCTATGGCTTTCGGTTATGGAATGTGGCAATGGTTGGAAAGTCACGGCCTCCAAACTCAAACGCAAACAACAGAAAAAACATGGCGGGAGTAAAAAGAAAAACGAGAGAATGGAATGGTTTTTCTTTTTTTTTTTCTTTTGGGGGTGGATGGGTCAGCTCGTACGGATGAGGATAGTTCTGGAAGGACATTTACTGCTGTCCGTCCACTGATGGTAGCGTTCAGCTGTTGCATTATTATTATTTGATTGGTGATATATATATATATATTTGTGATTTGTGATTACTTGTGATTCAGTTTGATATTGAGATTGTGCTCCACAGGCTGGTTAGGCTTCTCTCACATGGATTTCACGACGAATTAGATTTTTTTTGTGGCTTTGTACATGATGTACAGGATGTACTTGGTACTCTAGGGTTTCTTTTGTTGGGTGGGGGGGCAGTACAGTGTAATTTTAAACTTATTTCATTATTTTTATGTTTGGTATTTTCTGGTATTTATCTGGTATTATCTGGTATTTATCTGGTATTTTTGTTCGATACTTTGTAACGCTTACAAAAGTGGTGGTAGTAGTAGTAGTAATAGGTATGTAGTAGTAAGTAGTAGTAACATATTCGATTTGTTTTTTGCTTTTTAAGCATACATTTTTTTGGTATTTTTTTTTTGTTTGGCTTTGGTTTTGCTTTTACTCGATTTAAACTCAATTTGTATTTGTTTTGGTTTTGGTTTTCGGTTTTTGGGATTGAGATTGAGGTTGAGGTTGAGATTGAGTAGTAGTAGAGTAGAGTATGGTATGGTATAATCATTCAATGAACCAAAGGCGGTATAAAAATAGAGCAAGTTCATATGGATTAGTACAGTTGTTAAAAGGAAACAGTTGACACTCACCGATGATCTACTCACTTGCATAAACGCATAGACGCCGCGTAAAAACTCCATGTTATTTTGTTGCTCTTGGGTACCCTTTTTGGTTGTGCGTTGGGCCCGACTTATATACTGCTTAACGGTGTCCGCAACAAGATGTGGCTTTAGTTTGCGTGATAGAACCCTGCAACGAAATAACGCGAAATAACATCAGTTACAAGTACAAACTAGTCTGAGTGAGAGAGAGATGCTCTTATATGTACATATGTATGCTATGTGGACTGGGACTTATCCTCAGTCGAGGTCATCTGGCACTTGACTTGGCCCTCGCATCTAAATTTAAACGTTAAGCAAATTGTCACTCGAGAGGTGCTCGCCTTTCTCATCTTTTAAACGGAAACACTTTCCTCTGCCTTTGTGCTAATTGGCCGCACTTAGTGGGTCCACACAGCAGCCCACTCCACCTCCACCTCCACCGCAGGCATCCACTTGTCCGTATGTGTGTGTGTTTGTGTGTGTGATGTTCATGAAATATGCGCAAAGGCCACAGCCACACACAGCCACACACACACCCACATCTGCACAGTGGATACATAGTTAGATAGTGGAAAGGGGCGGGTGAAATTTTTGCGTTCCCTAATTGAAATCCTCCTCGACTGACGACTTTACGCATTTTGTGTGAATTGACAACGTAGATTAAGCTTATCGTTTAATTGCCTCGAGCAACAGCTCCAGCTCCAGCTTCAGCTGCGATTTCATTTCCGGTTCCATCTACATATCGCCCATCCGCATGCCTCGTGCCTCATGCCCGTTCCGGCACACACTCACGCATAATTCCCGTTTTTATTAGCCAAGCTTTTAAGCTCTGACTAACCAAAAGACGCGGATAGACAGACCGTCACTCCCATTTGTACACCAAGAGAAAATAGTTGTCTTATCATAGTACCGAGCAGTAGTATATTTCTCTCCCATTTCTCGCTGTGCATCATTCAGCAAAAGCGATGCCAGTTTGACTGATAAAGACCAAGACTTCATTTACTACTCTATTGACTCAAGCATCTAGCTGCGAGGGAGATTTTCTGTGATTTTCTGCGCTTTTCTGTGGATTAGCAGCGCATTTAATTGGATTCCCATGTGAGCACACAGACGAAACGAGCAAACGAAAAACAAGCAGAGAAAAAAAAACAACCATCAGCAAGCGAAAAGAAACTGGTGGAAAATCTGTGGAATTTAATTCGAGAAAAATGCAAAAATGGAATCCTCCTAATGTTGCATATTCCCTGAACGAAAACTAATAAAGTTTCCCCTGTTCTGGGTGCTGGATCCTGGCTACTGGCTACTGGGCTGGCTGCCAACGCGCATTTCCGTTTCCGGTGTGCGCCTAATTTATTATTAATGAAAAAAAAAAAAAAAAATGAGAACGAAGCGGCTACAGCCGCCTGGGGGTCTATGGGCGGTGGAGGCTAACTGCTTGCTGATTACTTTCGAGAGCAACATACACAAATTTCCACAAAAAATTTCCACAGCCTCTCGGACCTTGGACTCTGTGCATATTGACTTTAGCTCTGCATTCTCTGTGCCACTTGCCACGCCTCCCTGTTGCCTCCCAGTGGCCGGCAGAAGCCAAATAAATTCGAGTACAAAGCAAATTGCGACGGGCGGGGGCCCACAGCCACAGCCAAGTTCCATTTTGAAGAAACGAAATTGAAAATACTTAAAAAGCATCGGCAACATTACTTGTACTTTCAGCAAGTCTTTCGGCTACCAAGCAGAGTGTGTCCTTTTCTAGTTAACAATTTGGAGAAAGCTTTGACGATTATTTTCGGTATTTGGGGGAGCTCCAGCAACTGTATTTGCTGATCAGTTGGGCTTATCTTTATCCTTCGATAACTTCTTTCCCCTACAATCATTTCTGTCTACTTTGTTTGCCTCTCCTCTTCAGTTATAAGCAGTGTCCTTCAAGCTATGTATTTTTTTATTTTCCTCCTCTTAGTGTTGGCTTCTTCTGCCAACAGACGCTGCTGCCCGTAGGGTATGCCCAAGTCCGTATCCATTAACGCTTTTCCCTTCAACTTGTTTGCGGCATTTCATTATGACTCCAGTAGATGGGAGCGGGGCGGGGCGGGGCGGTGTACTTGCCGGGTAGGCGTGTCAGCTTGCAGAGGTCTTGTTTTCGGTCGCGTCGCCCTTTCTCTTACTTTTTGTTGTCTTATTGAAATTATTTGACCTTTCGGCTGGAGGGGCACAAGCTTTTAATTTATTATTATTTTCTTAACCGCATTCACCTTCCGCGTCGGCGTCTGGCCTGAATCTGGGGCCACAGCTCCAGCTCCAGCTCCAGCTCCAGCGATTTCTGGAGGGTTGACTGCCTCAGGACTTGCTCGTTACTTCTGCCTGGGAAATATTTCGGCGGTTTTGCTTTGTTTTGTTTCACTTTGGGATTTTTGTTTTGCTTTGTTTTGTTTTATTTGTCGGTTGACAGGCGTAACAGAAATGTTAAATTGCAAAAAATAAATCTCGAAATTGACTTTGTGCAGGGCTCTGCGGTTCCGTTCCTTGCGGTTCCTTGCGGTTCGCTTGTCGCCTGGGCCACCTTTTTACTTTTTTTGTGTGTTTATTTATTTTTCGTTTTCTTTGCTTTTTTTTTTGCTTCTTTTACAAACTGTCGCCTTTTTGAGTTGCTGCTGACAGCGTGAAAATCGAGATAAATGTGTTTTTTTCCTTTTCCGCAACACTTCGCATCCCATTGCTGCCAAGAGAACAGTTTATTTAATTTGAGCACGAAAAGTAGAGAAAAGGCAGTGAAATGGCCTTGGCAGCGAGTGCGAACATTTGTATTTAAAGATCGAAATCAGTGAGAGGCCCTGAAAAGTCTCAGGTAAAGATGCCATCAGATGAATATATTTTTAACAACTTTTGTGGGTGGCACTCCTCAAGGAATGTGTGTCAAGGGTGTGTCAACACAGAAAAAGGCATCCCATGTCATATTATTGTATCTTTTCGCATTAACCAAGCCATTGAGCACATTGATTTATGTCACCCACACTCTGCCATATATACTCACTCGTATATTCACCACCCCAGTGTCTACTGTAGCCGTACTAAATGTTCTGTGTGCTCCTTGCAGCTTGCTATATAAACATCAACAAAATTTGGATAGATTTTGCATTTTAACTAAATGATTTTGCATCCTGTGGCATGCAGACAGACTGTCTATTCTGTTTTGTACGAGAATATCTGACATTCGCATGCCCCACACAGAATCATTTCGCTGTCACTGCATAATGCAACAGCAACATCAGCCCTGGCAGCAGCTGGTAATGTGGCTCCGACCTGCGCCGACCTCCTTCAACAAGTAATTGCAGATGTCTTGTAGCTGGTACACTTAATGTCTGACGGATCTGACTGCTCATTCTCTGTCTTGCTCGTATTGCCGGGGGAATTCTCAGGATTTCCCTGCAAATATAATTTTCCTTTGGGCAATTTCTCCACTCGAATGATCACAAAATGCTTTGCAAACAAAAAAAAAACTTTTCCACTCACTGCGGCACTCGACAAAAGTCTGTCTATAAGTGAAGGGACATCGCCTTCACTCTGACATCTCGTGTCTCTAGTGGCGATGCGGCGACAACTGAGGCACAGTCACAGGCGGCGCCGCTGCAGTGGCTGCTGCAACAGTTAATGGAGGGCTGTAAGGCCCCTGAGAGCACGGAATCATAGGAATCAAAAGCCAGCCACATGAGCCACCATGTGGATGCCGCTGACAGCGCACAAGGCGAGAGCAGATAGCCATGAAATTATTATTTATTTTCTTTATGTCATATGAAGACAAAGCCATCAGAATTTTTATTTCATTGCTACTGTTTTCATTTATTTGATTTTCCTTGATTTGCTTTGCTTTCCTTTCGCTGCTGTTTCTCCTTGGCTTCTCGGCGTAATAAGCCCAATTAACAAGAGAAAGTGGGCCAAGAAAGAAGCCCAAATACACTGAAAGAAACTCGGTATGCACATCCATCCAGGGCAGGTATTTTAGTTAGCTAACCATCGACTAGCAAACTCAATCTGGGAGAAATACCACACACACACTGGAATTCCCCATTTATGTTAATTAAAAGCAGTTCTGGGCGTCTCTAATCAATCGGTAAAATTCCCAAATATGAGTAATTGCATTTCATTTGCCTTCGCCAATGAATTTCATAATGAATTTCCCTTCAGAGCTGCATAACTTGCTCTCGGAAAATTCCAATTGCTTTGACAAATTTGTCAAGCATAATTATGAAATTCCCTGGCCAATCCGCAAGAGGCATTATTTTTTTTTTTTTTTTTTTTCTTATTTCCTTCGACAAGAAAGTTTCTTATAAATTAGCCTAGTCACAAACATGAAACGTTAAAGGAATAATTTTTGTTTGGGGTTAGCGATATGATTAACCTACTTAGCCTATTTATATTTTTATGTTATTTTTTTTTTATTTATTTAATTGTAGTTTTATTATATTTATTTTATTACTGTTTTTATTATTTTTACTTATTTATTATAGTTTTTTAAGTATAAATTAATTTTTAATTTAATTTAATTCAGTTGCTGTTGACGGGTGCTGATGCCATTTGATCCATCCATCAACTATCCGGTGTCAGAGGACTAATAAAGGAGTATCCATTGCATTCGATTCGATTCCAATCCTTTCCAGGCCTTGACAACCCTGAGCGAAAGAGAGAGAGAGCGTGAGAGAGGGAGGGGCTGTTGCTGCCTGTCCCCCCACTTAATTGCCTAGCCACAATTTGCTCAATTTGCTTTGGTGTCCTTTGTCCATTGTCTTTTGTTGCGGCGAGTCCTTCAAGATTGCCTTCTTGTTGTCCTGTAATTGACGTTGCTGCTGCCCCTGCTGAGCCGCTTAAATTGCATGGAAACAAATCGAGCCCGAGCCCAAGCCCGAGCCCGGACCCGGGGCAGAGGTTGGAAAATCCCCAATGCCAAAATAATTGCGCATAATTCCGTTTTCCATTTTCCAGCCCGAACGTACGAACGAGCAACGACCGCAAAATGCATTTCAAATAATGGCCAGCGTATATTGAGTATACGAATATACATGGCACACAAACGAGTATATGTACATACATATGTATGTGGTTTATAGTCGCTGCTCCCTCACGTCCTGTAGCCTTTGGCTGTGGTTACCACAGGAC